TGTGTGTGTGTGTGTGTGTGTGTGTGTGTGTGTGTAAGTATGTGTGTGTGTGAGAGAGAGAGAGTGTGTGTGTGCATTCTTGAGTACCGGGTATGTGAGAAAACTTCCAATTTTGTTATATCATATAACTTGCATATACATCACGTATTTTATTCAAATGTTATCAAGCGAAGGGTAGAATGGTGATAATGCATGTGACCAGTGCGGGATAGATCTACCCAAGACATAACTGTATCCTGCATGTGATCAACGGATCATGATAAACTGGTTACGGGTATATTCGTTAACTTTGTGCAGTTCCGGCCTCACGTGTCTTCGGCAATATACGGATAGAGCAAGATCAACTTCCGATTTATGCGTGTGACCGTCACATGATCAACAACACAGCAAGATGGCGACCATCAAAGTGAACAACCTCAATGGCCCTCTGGATGAAATTGCAGCTTTTCGAACCCATAAACTAGCTGTTACCCGAGATTATATATCTCAACCAAAACTAAGTAAGTATATTTATTTGCCGATACATTTTCTGGGCTGAAAATATTTATTTCCTCGCTGTCTGTTCAAGACTCGTGCAGGATCGGTTGCACAGAAAAATAGCAGAAGAGTGAAAGTGTAGAGGCAAGCCGACCACTGAATTCCTCAAAATAGTGATCTATTTGGCCTTGTCTCTTAATTCTGTTATTCCTATTTTGTCTGAAACTGCCTGAGCATTTCAAGGTGTATTCTGTGTCTTTTCTGCACCATAGATAATAATACAGAAGGCTTTGATAGTGTCCACGGACTCCAACTTGACCAACCTTCCTTGCCCTGAAACCAAAACCTTTAAAATTGTATTCATCTCGGAAAACAAAACCTTTTGATATTCATTCCAAGTTGAATACATATCTCAGTGTCAACAGTACTCAAATTCAGATCTTTTTCATACACTGCATGCAGGCTTTAGCACAGGGTGGCTTAAATCTAGCTTTTCCCTTGCTGCTCAGATACAGAACAAGAGGACTGTAGGCTCTGCAAGGACTTTAAAAAAAGGGGTTTAGTAAACAAAGTCACCTTCAATTTCTTGTTGAGGAAACATTCTTTTTTTATTATTATGAAAGGAATGATTTAATATACACAATGAATTTTTAAACTTCTTTTCTTTTCCCCCTTCTAGCATACAAGACTGTGTCTGGTGTAAATGGACCACTGGTCATTTTGGACAATGTCAAGGTTTGTGAATAAATGTCATTGTCTGCAAAGGGAGCAGGGGAAGAGATCGGTTGAATGTGAAATGTACTGGTTACTCATTGTGTTACAGCTTAAACTTCAATGAAAGACCGGTATTATTGTACTCATGGACCCGTTTCATGCTCAGAATACAGTGGATCCCACTAACGAGTCTGTTATAAAGACACTCTAAAAGGCCACCTCTATTCTCACCCGGGGTGAGAATAGTGCAGGCGAGTCTTTTGGCTATTCTCACCCGGTGCGCGTTCACCGTTATAG